GTCAAATTGGGGAGATTCATTGTAAGTTTGCGGAACTTGACCACAAGAATACTTTGCTTCCTGACGCTTCTTCCGATTGCCAAGCCAACCAAAATGCCTTGCAACTTTGGGAAGCAAAATACTCGGAAGCTGTCGCCCAAGCTGATTCACCAGACTTGCTTTGGGCCACGGTAAATGATTTTTGCCTGGACACCTTAAAAGCCAATGGTGCTGTTTGGGGATTTGGAAAGAGGGCCAGAGGTGTCCTACCCGAATTTAAGGCTAAGAAGATTTTTCCAGGGCAAACCCCCACTGGGTCTGCCGTTTCCAGACATGCCTCCCTGCTATATAACTCCCACAATAGATTGTTGGAGTTACAAACTCGATCCCAGAGATGTTCTAATAAGTTGTCTGATCAAATTATCTTTCAGCGCACTTCCCACAGGGTGTGGCGTGCCCTTTCCGATTTGGGATCCCCTCATTGTTGGGCACACCCGCGTGTGCCTTGCTTGATGGATATTTATGTGAACATTTGTTGGGTCAAGGAAGAGATTCGCATTTTGGAAACAACCCAAAAGAAGAAACGATTGGATTCATGGAAAACAAAAATCAGAGAGTCTGCACTTACGCATAAGAAATATATCTTTCATCACTTGCGTAACAAGAGCAAAGATGAGCCTGTCAACTTAGTCCTTGATGATAACAGTAATATTGTCTTTAACCCCCATGAGGCAATCAGTATTATCAATGATAAGTGGGACGCCATCTTCAGTGCGAATGTCCTTCACGCTGACCCCATGCGTATGTTGGAAGTGATCTGGCCCCACATTGACCAGAACATCCCCACTTTCAACCTGCCTCCACTCAGTGGTAAGGATATTTACCAAACCATCCAAGACCGCAATCCGAATGCAGCAGCCGGTTTAGATGGATGGCGCACTGCAGACACTCAGCGGTTGCCTTTGGTATGCTGTGATGCTATTGCACTGTTTTTTCGCACCTTGGAGGATACTTATGATGCATCCTTGCCTGATGTGTTAACACGTGCAAAACAAATCATCCTCAACAAACCAGGCCCTTCCACCCCCATAAATAAGCGTCTCATAACAATACTACCGCCACTGTTCCTTGCTTACTCTGGAACCAGATTCCGACAGCTGCAAGCGTGGCAGAAGCAAGTTTTTGATTCCACTTTGTGTGGGGGCATCAAAGGCCGCAACATGGCGGACATTAGTGTTGGTCTTCGGGTTGATATCGATGAAGCACAAGCCGAACATGACCCAATTGTGGGCATCAAGCTTGACCAAAGCAAATGTTTCGATCGAATCGTACCCTCATTTGCTGGTGCTCTTTTTCTAGTCTTTGGTATGCCTAAGGGCGTTGTCGGCATGTTCTTAAAGCTTTACCAAGGTCTCAAGAAGCATCTTTCCTTTCGTGGTTGGACTTCTAGGAAACCGACTACTGCGGCAAACGGAATTGCACAGGGTTGCAGTTTCTCTTTGTTGGCTATTAATGCCTACATGGCTGTCTGGTCTAAATTCATGACTTTGATTCCAGGCATTTTTTCGAAAGCATTCATTGATGATGCCTATCTGTGGGCAAAATTGTCTAACATTCATAATCTGTGTATTGCTTTCGAAGTCACGCAACAATGGAACAGTCTTGTTGGACAGCAGCTCAACCCTGCGAAGAGCTCCCTCTTTGCCTCTTCCAAAGAAGCCCGTAAAGCCGCTTCAGCCGTTTTTCCGCTGATACCGATCGTGTTGGAATTCGATGCTTTAGGCACTAAAATCTACACTTCAGATAGAAAATCATTTCTCTTTGATGATGAAAAGACCACAAAGATCTGTATGGACATTAAGAATATTTCTGCCCTTCCGGTAAAGGGGCAGGTGAGAGAGAAACTTATTGCTTCTAAGGTTATCCCTCAGTTTTCTTTTGCTTCAGACATCTCTTCAATTCCCAAGAAAGCGCTGAATCAATTTGAAAGTGGGATCGCCTCGGCCCTATGGGGTCACCGACCACATTGGAGATCCAAAATGATGATCTTCACCTTCTTGTCGCAGCCTTGCCACACTGAACCCACGGTAGCCAGAGCATACTGCGCTTTGAGAAGTTTTTGGAGATTCATCCATGATCATCCTTTGATGTTGGACAGATTGCAAGCAATGTTTTCCTTTTCTATTAATAAACAACATAGTTTGTTGAGGCATATCTCTCAAGCCTGTGAGATTTTTCACCTTCGCCTTTTTCCTGATTTGCAAATCGGCATTGGGAAACACAAATATCACATCCTGGACGTTTGTACTCGAGATTTATGCAACTTCCTCCGTATCATGGGACGGCAAAATGCTTATGAACGGGTTAGTTTCCGAACTCGAAAAGACATCATGCGTCCCACTGGACTTCTAGATTTCCCTTTGTCCACGGTTTTCTTGAAAAAGTATAAAGCTGTGCCAAATGAAACAAACTTAGTTCCACACTTCGAATCGCAAATCGTTGGTTGTACTATAACCAATGACAGACGTGCAGCAGTTGGTTTTTGTGATTCTTCCGAGTGTCGGTACTGTCATCAAACTAAGGAGTCTCTTTGGCATTTGGTGGATGAATGCCAGGCCGCACCTGAAGAGGTGAAAAATGCTCCGAAGCATGATCTCGGACCAAATTTTGCGAGCCTCGGAATTGTCGAACACCCTGCGGGCTTATGCGATGTCCGACTTGAGCCAACTCCGCTACCACATCCTGTTGAGTTCTGCGTGACAGCGCCCCTCAAGAAATTTTGGACGGATGGGTCAATGGTCAACGCTGAATCCTTCTGGCTTCAAACAGCTGCCTTTGCTGCGGTTGATGAAAGCCAGCAATGTATTTACAAAGGGCGTGTCAATTCCTTTGCGCTCTCTTCGTTCACTGCTGAGCTATATGCAATTATATTTACTTTCTTTTGTTCACAGGGCCCCATCCTTATCTATACGGACTGCAAAACCTTTGTTGACAAGTTTGGTACACTCCTTCGGGAACGCCTCGTGCCCAAGGGTTGGGCTCATTCCGTCTGGTGGAAAGAACTTTTGAAAGTCTATAATTTGCGATCAGCTGTGTCAGGTGATCCCTTGAGGGTTCAATGGATCCCGGCACACTTGTGTGACAATATTCAAGTGAGTGAAATCACGGATGAAGTGGCTGCACAGCTTGGCTGGCCACGACAATGCCTTATTTGCAATAAATTGGCCGATAGCCATGCCAAAGCCTTTGCACTTGATCTTGCACCAGTCGCACCTTCCATGTTCACTGTGTTGAAACACGAAGTCTTCACACGACAGGCGTGCCTTGCGAGATTAAATTGTGCAATAGGCAAGGATCAGCCGATCAAGAATGTGTACCTCACCAAGGAGGAACAAGCTCCTGACCAGGAATTTTCTGTCCGCAGCCGTTTTCCAGAATGGGATTGGACACCAGATGCCTCCCTTTTCTCTTGGAAACCCAAGCATACCCATTCTGTGGTGGATTGCTGCGGATCATTTTCTTCTGACGAGGACTGTGATGCTCTTCAATCCTTCATCCTTGCACTTAAGTGGAAAGCCGGTGCGAACCTTTCAGTCGCGTATGTTGAACTCGCCTTTCTCTTTGTGGTGCGTCACTTTCGTTTTTCATCGGTTGCCGCAACTGATGATTTCGCCGTCTTGGTACGACACTTGAAACGAATGTTTGATGCCGTGTGTGCTCAGCGCAACCAGGGACTCATTCCAGGACGCCATGAAAGGGATCAGAGTCATCATTGTGGACGTGCTCTCCCTCGGGGGGCGATTTTTGGTTTCCGGCCTTTCATTTCTACGAGTGAACTTGAAGGATTCGCCCGTTTGATTCTCGAAGGGGGTGGACGAACACTGAAGACGTGGCGTTTCGGACTTGATGCTGTTGTCGCTAATTAGTTTTGTCTTGCACGTTCATTTGTACTCCAAGATCTTTTTCTACCGAACCGACCAGTGTGTCAGCGGTAGGGCTACAACACGTAGCTGGGACAGATGCAACAGGTGGAAACCCTGAGCAATTCAGACTTGACAAACAAAAGCTCTTTCTACTGGCGTTTCGGACACTATGTTTCCGAAACAACCTTTCAGAACTACTTGCGTCAAGGAACCTTGGGGTAGAGACTTACCGCTTCTCTGCTGGAGGTCCAATTATGTTGCTGTGAATGTACGTTTGCAGTTGCTGAGTGATCAGGGTTCGTTGGCATTGGTACGATTATGATTGCATAAGATAACTTTTATTGTCAATGTTCAGTTTCCTTCACGTACAAAATGGTACAAGCAGTTTGTTGGATGGCCCAAGAACCTCAGATTTGGAACCATCATGTTCCGATGCAATGCGCAGCAAATTTGAAAGCTGCGACTGCTTCCTTTTGCAGTTCCCAAATGTGTGCAGAATAGGAGAACCTATAGCTATCATTTGTTGTTACCAACAAGAGGTGGCGACCAGACAAACCTGAAAGATTCCAGTGCAAACCCGAAGTAATGAACTAATTACTAGTCGCCTTTGAGTGTTCAATTCTTGCATCATCATTGAAATTGGGCAACCAACAACGTCCGAAGTCTGCAACTTGGTATCATCGGTGTCGAGGATTCCCGCCTCAGCCTCCCCGGATCGTTTCCCTCCGAATCATAAATCAATAAATCGGTAGTTTCGGAGTAAAACATTCGAAATTCCCAAAGAAACTACTTGTACCATTATTTCTGAACGAGCTGTTTTCCATAACTGCTATATAGAGCCCTCCGATCTTGGACATTCGACGGTTCGAAACAAAAAGGAGGGGAACGAAGAAGAGAACTTTCTTCAACCTCTCCCAGACGTGCGTCGCTACGCGCTACACAGCTGCACAGTCCAGGTATCGTGTGTCTCCAAACATGGCCGACAAGCATCCGAAGGTGGCAATCTTTGGTTCGAAGGCACGTGTTCTTGCTTGCTCGAAAAGAGCCACCCCTGAAGTCATGCAGACACGTAATTAGAGTTTATATGTGTATCTTTGTATGTCCCGGACTTTTCCGGGTTGCTGGAACTGCCTTGGACATCAATTCCTTCAGATTCAAGACATGCCTGTGGCCTTTGGCTCAGTTTCATGTAGTAATGTAGTAGTGAATCAGGTGCGTGGCATACCTCTAGATGGCTGGGTCAAGGCGGCAGGGCACAACGGGCTAGAGAAGAAATGCATGCCTCTGTGGAATTGAATGATTGTTCTCAGCCTTGGGTGTAGAAGTTTTAGTGGCCGTTTCGCTGTTCTTCTACAAAAATGCATTTGTGGGATGAGCTGTTGTTGGCTTCTGTAACTCAGCAAAGAGCAAACTCCCAGGCAATACTAATTCAGCTCAATTATAGTCCAGCGAATTTCCTCTATAAACCATGCAACCCTGGGGGTCATGTTGGTGCATTTTATATAGGGTATTCTATAGAGAAAAAATCCAGTGGTTCTCTATAAATTGACCCACCCTGGGGTGGGTCAAGTTATGTAAATTTATAGAAATCCCTGTTTTAGGGCAATATAAACCCTGGGTGCATGGATTTTATAGAGGCAAGGATGTTGATGATGGCTCTTGTACTCGAAGTATGTAACCCCGGGTACTCGTAGCTTCATTATATAGAGACAATTTTATAGAGAAGGCTTCATTTTATAGAGAAGCCTGGATGGATGTGAGCAGCGTCAAAAACCTCCAACAAACAGTTTAAGCACACTTGTAAACTCCAACTTGCCAGCGGAAGCCAAAACTGCAGTCGTGGAAGCTTGCGGAAGCCACCGCGTAAGTGTATGGTAAAATTCACCATCGCTGAAGCTTTGCGGATGTGCGCACGTTATCTTCTTGAACCTTGTTGACAATAACTTTTTAAAGGAGGTTTGTCTAACCTAGGAGCACTTTTGAGAAATACGTCCATGTGGGAACCCTGGGGTGTCACTAAAGAATGAGGCCACCTACTCTATGTTATCAACTATATCGACCTGATATTTCCATTAGGGTGCGTGAATCTATAGAGGACCATTTTTGCTGGTGATTCTATAGTGGTCCAGATTTGAAGCATGGGGTGTGTGATTCTATATTCTGCAGCCCTTCTTTTCTACCTTGGGTGTCCAGATTTTATAGTGCCAGAACCCTGCGGGTACCGTTTGGGGGTCAGGTGGAATTCACAGGCGTATGCTCAATTGATCTTTCACATAAAGAAGCTCTGAAGATTCGGGCTACCTGACACACGCTCCCGCCCAAAACCATCCAGTTTCATCCAGTTTCCATGTTGTGTGTGTACTGTATGGGAGAGGTTTCCCACCACCGCCAACCTCGGGACCCCTCTGGACCGCTCTGGACCCGGTACCCGTCCTCGGTCGAAATCGACCACCGGTGAGGTGGGCAGAAGATATCTTCCAACGCACATTGGCAATGCCTGCGTTCTTCGACCCGTGAACCAGGCCGCAAACCCAAAGGAGTCGGTTTGGACATCGTGGGACATCGCGGAACCACCGTGAGGTGGTGAAGCAAAGTCAGGTCTCACCTCCAGTCTTAACAGAAGTGCAATTTGGTACAGCCTACAATTTGCCATACCATATTGACTCAACCCATATTGAGCATGTCAGTGTGGTTAATATAATATATATATATACTGTCCTGCATCATCAATGCGTGCCTGCAACAACAGCAGGAGTCTGCCGTGATTAAGCTGAATGAAGAGGAGGACTGGAGTGTTCTTGCAGAAACAGACGACGAAAGCTGCCAGTGCCACGGCTGTTGTAAATTGGATCCTGTCTTAGAAATCCCAACCCATGGCGACAAGGTCCCATGCAATTCCTATCAGACTGCTTCCCTTGTCTATTATTGATCAAGTTGAGTTGCTGCAAAGTCGTGCGACTCGGTGTCATGGACTTCAATGAAAGCGCCGGCGGGAGGCTGACAGGCAGCTTGGTCAGATGCTTTTTGGCAAAGAGGGCTATGGCTATGGTGGCGATGTGCCCTCGGCCCAAAAGGTGTTGTTCGCATGCAAACAAAAATGCTTCCACAAAGAAAGGAGTGCACTGCCCATTGGATTGAACACATCGGCATCCCAAAAATCAAGGCAACAGTTACTCAGTTGCAAATCCGTAGCGATACTCCGGACTACTTGCTGTGACAGACTCCGAAAGCATTGGTCCACAGGAAGTGCCCACAGCGAGTCCCACAGCTGTGTCTCCAGCTCGAGGTCGACAGCTGTCACTCGGCTGTTTGAGATAATCTTGGCAACTGGACTCCTTTTGCCTCTCGAGACACGTAGTCATGTTGATCCCTTTTGCTTGATCGCTTTCAAAGAGTTGAATGAATCAGGTGAGACAGAAATCGATTGCTAAGAAGAGACCCTGCCATTTCTCCGAGTTTCTTCCCTTCTTTACATCAAAGGCTTTGAATCCAAGGCTTTGAATCAAAGATTATAAAAGGTTGTTATTCTTGCCCCAGTTTGGTGATATTTTTATGATATTTTCTCAAGGGACACACAGCAAAAAACGCTTCACCATTGACTTCAGGATTCGGCCGGAGACATCCGCCCCAGGGGCAGAGCCTCTACTGCCGGTGGGCTTTGGGGCTTGCTACGAGGTGGTGTCACTGGGATCGGTTCCAAAAGCACATGCGTTTGGGTTCAGAATGTTCTCTACTAGACTCAAGTTGAAGCATGTGCTTGACAATCAAACTCAGACATTTGCATCCATTTCGTCCAACGGCAGCATGAGTTTGTTTGGATCGAATCTCTTTGTTGTTGGCTGTGCTCCAGCTCCCAAGGTTTGATCGCGTGGCCATCCGGTCTGCACCGAGTTTGACTGCCACCACAGTGGAGGTCAAGAAGATTCTTGGAGCTGTGCTAGAGAAGGCTTTGGATATTCTTTAAGAAATCACTGCTTTGAGCATCATTTTGAAGTAGTAGTAGTAGTAGTAGTAGTAGTAGTAGTAGTAGTAGTAGTAG